AGCTGTAGGGAGCATGCCAAGTAATTCTGAGGGGTGATGGCCCCCTACACACACACCTCGATGGAGCACTCATGCAGAGAGCTGATAATGACAACATAGCTGTCAACAACAGCAATTTCATTAGAAAAAAATGCCTACTAATGTGCTTATCCCTTATTAACAGATCCTGCAATACCACGTGGTGAGGAAGCTGCTTTTGTTAAAAGCTGAGAACAAAGAATTCAATATTCCCCACAGGCTTTTCAGTGTGTCTTCTCCTCTGAGGAGGATATATTTGTTGACACTTGCTTCTTGGGGACCAAAACAGCCGTAGAGCTGACCATGTGTTGCAAGTAGAGAAAACTGTGTAACTGCCAGGCTGCCAGTCCCCTTACAGTCCTTTTGCCATCTCTCACAATGACCTTTTTTCTTTTGGGACATGCACCCTTTTGCACTGTTGCCCTGCACGCAGAGTTAGAGTCCATGGGTCTGCGTTATGTCTGTTCTGATCCTTCCCCAGCTGCCATCAAAAAGCTACTCCTGTTTCTCCATACCTTGCCTGTACCTGTAAAAGCCTGATGCTGTCTTCATATTGCTGAAGTTATTACAGATTCATGGAGATGCTGGATGCAGATCAGCATGGACTATAGGGTCCCAGCTCCCAAAGTAGTAGAAAGACAGTATTCCTCCTCAGTGTTATCACAGTGTGACTACCAGACAGAAGGGACAGTGTTTTGTTACATCACAAATTTGCAGATTCAGTCAAGATCTGATTCTCTTCTTGCTAGTCTTCACATTCTTCCTCAGAGTGAAAACAGATAGACTGAGATGTGAAGTCCAGAAGAATCAAGGATTCTCTGGACACAGGCAAACTAGGTGAAGTCTGTGAGAGGCATACCAGAAGACATAGTGTCTGCTCTCAGGACATCTTTGGGTCTGCCCAAACAAGGGATGGCAAACTGCCCACCCCATGCTTAAGCTTCTCTCTGACCATACCATGGATGCTGGGCACTTGGTACAATTGAATAAAGTCAGCAGGGTCACCGAAAATATGTAGACTACAGAGTCACTTCTTCACTCCAGCCTGCAGCTTACCTCATGTTGTTGACATACATCTTTAGCAGGTATAGTGTTTGCAAAGTCCTATAGTAAGTGAATATGTGCCAATGATAATGTATGGGCCTGCACTCTATTTCATAGAGCATTTCTGGCTGTTTCCAAACAAAAAGACGACTTACTTGTTGAGCTGCTTTACCTTAGTTGAAACACTGATTTCTAATCTGGGAGTATGGGTTCTCAAAACTAACAGCTTCACTGAAATTTTGCTCTGAATTCAGTACACACTTGCTGCCCTCTGTTGTTGTTTTCTTTTTAATTTTTCTTTTTTTTCAGTGAAATATCCATGTGGAAAAATACCAGTGCTGGCAAAAAAAAATTCAACTGCACAAGGGAGAATAGTAGGTGGTTTAATCTGTCCTCCAGGTGAATGTCCATGGCAAGTGAGTCTTCAAAAATTTTTCATTGTTATTATTTTTTAACTTCCCTATGAAAGTGCTATCTTAAATTCATTTTTTAAAATCTCTTATGTTAAGGATTCATAAAAAGTGCCATGTCTGGATAACTGAATTCCCTCTTTGTCCATAGCCAGCAGACACACCTGTTTCAGTCAAGCATTTTAGCTTCATTTTGGAGTGCCTGGTTTCATTGGAGTAGAGTCACCTCTATCCTCTGATACCTTAGTCCTTAACCTTACTGTTGGCAAGAATTATAGTTGCAGCTTGTATGGATACACTGTTGGCCATAATAGGCAAGGTCCATACTACAAGATGGAGAAAATATCAGTTTAGGAAAACTCCCTCTCACAAATTCTCAATAAGTCATGACAGTATTCTCACACACAGTTGCATATAGTGTCAGAAAAAAGCAGTATGAAACCCATCACTACTGAGATGCAGATCAAGCACGTTTGATGTCAGAGATAAATTTGCTTTATGTTGGCAGGCCCTTATAATGCATGATAATAAAGAAAAGTGTGGTGGTACCCTGCTTTCCCCAGAGTGGGTGGTCACTGCAGCTCATTGTTTGGACTATATTCACCCTACACAGCTTCGTGTGAGACTGGGTATGTATTGTCCTCTCCTCATCTCGTCAAGGTGGTGGCAGTTTCTCATCCTGATAAAACCAGAGTTAAAGGCTTTGGCAGTATAAGGGAATTGTCCTTTATAGGTGTCAGACCAGAAGTGCCCTATCTCCTTAAACTTACAAGGAATCAAGAAGCTCCCTGATATGACCTGCAATTCATAACTTTTCCAGGTGAACACAAAATAAATGAAGATGAGAAAACTGAGCAAGAAAGTGGAGTCTCCAGGACAATCATTCATGAAGGATACACGATTGGACAAGTCAATAATGATATAGCCCTTTTGAACCTGGAAACACCGGTGAATCTCACCGACTATGTGGTGCCGATATGTTTGCCTGAGAAACGGTTTGCTGTGTACGAACTGTCCTCTATCAAGTTCTCCACAGTGAGTGGATGGGGACGCCTATTAGATGGAGGTGCCACCTCTTCTGTTCTGATGAGAGTTGATTTGCCACGCGTAAAGACACAAGAATGTGAAAAGGAGACCAATTTAAATATCACAGAGAACATGTTCTGTGCAGGAGATCTGTCTGGAGCTAAAGACTCCTGCAAGGGAGACAGTGGTGGTCCTCATGCTACAAAGTACAAGAACACTTGGTTTCTGACTGGAATTGTCAGCTGGGGAAAGGGCTGTGCTGTTGAAGGCAGTTATGGGGTTTACACAAGGGTGTCCAAATACATCAACTGGTTGAAGAAGCACATGGACTAAAGATGTTGAGCCAGAGCATTTCCAGAGGGTGCTACTGTCCCCAATCACTCTGTGCCATTTTCCTATTGAAGCATTCCTTCATTATCTTAGATATGTGATACATGTGATACCCCACCACTATTAATGATTTGAAGCAAGCCCAATGACTACTTGAATACATAAAATACATTCCTTATCAATATTGTTTGTAAACTTATATCTTATCAAGCAGGCACAGAAGAACTGTAACAAATCAAACTCCCTGTCCCTCTTGTTCTACATCCATTTCTGCTGAAGTACAGAGTTAGATGCTGAAAGACTATCAGCAATACATCATGCCTATCATAATCCTTCCTCCAGTTACCCTCTCAACTTCTGGTAATCAGGGAAGTACAGACTTCCTGAGCCAGAAGTTGCATTAGATTGAACAGTCATGAATGAACCTGATGTCTGTAATTGTGTGCAATCTCGTTTGAACACATTCATGCATCTGGCTTTCACAACTTCCTATGCTATGGATCCTGTAATATAATTATGAAATAGCAGAAAAAAAAGATAGAAAAAGTGTTTCTTTTAGATTATATTAAAGTAGCTTTCTCCAACAGTTGCAGTGGCAACAGGCAGATTTGAGGGATAGGAACCGAAGACATTCTCCAGAACAAGAAAGCTGGAAAAAGGTTGATTCCACATTTACAGGTTTGTTATGAAAAGTTTATTTCAGTCTTCTTTCATCAAACATTATTGCTGTAAGGCTATTAAATGCAATATTTAACCCTATGAGTGGTAAAGAATACCGCTGATTTAATCTTATCTTTGCCTTGCTTGTTGATACATAGAACACAAATGAAAGGGAACATTTGTTTCATTTGTTGTCCAGTATAATCTAAACTGTATTCTCTATCCTGAGATCTGAAGTCAGAATAAAATAATTGTCTGACCATCTGAAAAACACTGACCAAACACCATTCACTAAAATCTTAAGGCATAAATGGTAGAACTTGAAACACTCTGAAAACACTATCAACTATAAAATTAAAAAAATGTACCTTCTAATCTAAGCATGAAAACTGTGAATAGGTGAAGGAGATAAAAATGTTTAGGAGATTAGAAAACAGTTTAGCAATCTTATGCAAAACTTATACCCAAGACCATTCAAATAATGTGGAATATCAACTCAATCACAAAAGCTTATCAGAGAGTAGGACAATTACAATTGATCTTTATTATTAGGGAGAAACATTGATATCATCTGGTACATAAACCATGCAATACTAAACATCCTATAACCTATTTTACTGACACAGAAGAATGGTATACTGTTCATTTAAATAGTGACCTGAACTGGGAGAAGCAGCAAAGTTAAGAGACCTGAGAAATGAGAGGTCTTACAGTATGCAAACATATCCTTACTCTGAAAAAGAGTCCCATCCCAGGGAGGAAAGTGATTAGGAGTAGTGACCAGCAAATAAAGCCTCATGTTCACTTAGATGAGTTACTCAGCATTGCAAAATCATCACTGAAGACCCTTGAAGATAAAACAGTTTGGGTTTTCCATGGTCCATAAGGCAATTTCTCCTCTGTAACATTCCAATCTAAATACTGACATTTATGAACAAATCATCATCTTGCAGTAAAACAGGTAAAACGCTGAAAGAAATCAGTACTAGTAATGGCTGCACAGGGTGACTTTTTCAAAACAAAGCTGGGGTTTAGATATATTTTTAAGGTAATGGCCTGTTTAAGCAAGACAAGAAGATGAAGGAGACCTGGTGGCTGGCTCTGGAAGCACCGAAGACGAGGGTTCACAGCGCACTGTGAACTCTCCCACAAGAAAGGGGAGATTGAGGCCAGCTCCCAGCGAGCAGCATGCCGAGGTCACTGATCCAAAGTGCGGAACCATCGGCTTACGGGGTTGGGATGTGGGAAACCCCGGTGGAAGCTGCCAAGGGTGCGGGCTGTTTTAGGATAAGATCCCGGCTTAGCCCAGAGTCGGGCCAGGGCGACACCAGCTTTTTGAGGTGGTGAGTCCCTTCCCCTCCTCCAAAATAAAAGGTGTTTGTTTTTGTTTTGGTTTGGTTTGGTTTTGTTTTGCTTTGTTTTAAAAAAGCGGCATTGGGTTTTGAAAAAAAATAAAGAAAAAACGGAAAAGAAAGAAGAGAAGTCTCATCCCCCCTGAGTGAGAAATCCCGCCGCGGCTTTTCCCCCTGACCCGGCGCTTCCGCTATTTCTGGGCAGGCAGAAGCAACGCAGCTTCAGTCTCACCCCGCCCGAGGGGGTGAAGACTTCGGCTCCCGTCCCGTCAGTCCCTCCCGTGCCCGTGCCCGCGGGACCATCAGCGGGGCGCTCCGCGCTGCCATGGCCGGCCGCCTGCTGCTCCTCCTGCTCTGCGCCGCGCTGCCGGGCCAGCTCCGCGCTCAGGAAGGCGGTAAGGCGGCACCTTTCTCATTTTTTGGGGATGGGCGAATCCCCCTTCCGAACAGCCTTCGAGGATGGGGAGGAGCGATCGGGCTGGGAGACGGTGGAAGGTCGATACTGCGGGACGAAGGCGCGCACCGGGAGAGCGCCGGGAGCCGCCGGGAGCTGCGCTTCGGGGACAGGGAGCTGCTGTGGGCATCTCGGGGTGCCAGACCCCAGGGATGCTAAGTCCCGCTGCTGTCCCCGAGGCCTTTCCTTGGCTGCTTCGTCTTCCCTTTATCCCCCGGGAAGCGGGATTGCTGTCCCTCCCCGCCGTTCACAACTGGAGTACAGCTGCCTTCACACCCCGAGGTGCTCGTGTGTGTGAAGGGAAGCCTGGCCAAGGCTTGGTTGGGTGTGCTTGGCCGTGGAGGTGACAGGTGCGAAGCATGTCCTTGTGTGCTCTGTTTGTACAGCACCGTGCTCAATGCCAAAGTCCAGGGCAGCATCAAGAAGTGGCCTTTCAAAAGTTGTTAACTCTTCCTTCAGTGAGTCAGCCCACTTGGGGTTTAAAACAAGTCTGTAGCATATTTCTGGAACATCCTACTTCAGTTGTCCAGGGCCTATTGCTCCTTGATGTCTCTGAAGAAGGAATAGATGATAGAAAGCTTGGGAAAGAGAAAACCAACCTCAGAAGACTGATCAGCTAGTTCCAAGTTTACAAAAACATCCTCTTATGTGGGTGGTGTGGAAGCAAAGGAATATAGAGGCGATAACCCCACCAGCTGTGTCCTGTCACTTTCCTGTTACTGCAGAGAGGGATTTAAGGGCAAATAAGATAGCGGGTGAATGAACTAATAGTCGCTGAGCTGCAAGTTACAAGCGTTTTTTGTAAACCTTCCTTGGGAGGAGCTGTTTTAAAGTAAGCGGGGCTTGAAATTAAGGATGGGATTGTTTAATACAAATAGCACAAACAGAATTTGTCTCCCTGTGGCTGATCCACCAATTGCAATGAAAGCAGAATAAGTCCCCTCTGTGTTCACTTGGAGGATATTAGGGTCTATAATTACTATCAGCAATTTATTTATTATTGAATTAAGTTGCATGAAGAATGCTCCAGCAGGTATGTGCAAGCTGTGTGCTGAGCATAAGGCACTGTCCTTGAGTCCCATCTGTAGCACAGTCTTCCATGCTGTGCTTGGAAAGTAATTTTTTGGTGTGAATTCCACATGGTAGAACTTGATTAAAAGCCAGTTTCCAAACTCTTCACACTTGCCTAGAACATATGCTTTTTACAGAATAATTGGCAACTTATTTCATCCAGTATTGGTTTTGTTTTTCCTGCCTGGTAATGTGTGCACAAGTCACTGGAGAATAATGCTGTTACTCACATAGCCACGTGCCTGAGATGAGTCTAATGCCTCTGCCCCTCCAGTTTAAATCAACAGCTACCTGTATCTTTAACTTGAAAGCAGAAGGTCTTAGGCTTCTGTGACTAAAAGCTTTTAAGAAATAAAACTAACTCAACAAAACGACTTCAGGCTGTACATTCCTGCTAAAGCTGATGTTCATTAACTTTTGTTCTTTGTTAAATCTTAGAAGGCAGCTGCCTTATTAGTACATATATCAGTAAGTCCAGAACATTTCTACAGGCAATTGAGAGGTGCTAAGAGGGGAGGAAGATCCCAGTGCAGCACAGTGGGATTTGGGGTGGTGAAGGGCAATAGGACTCATGGGCTCTTCCCATCAATTGCTGCATCTTCAGTTTATGTAGCATTTAGTTTCTGCATCACAAGCCCCTAGATCAGGAATTTATGTTGCCTGATGGTCAGCTTTAAAACAAAATCAAGGAATGCAATCTCCCTGGCCTCCAGGGAAAGTTATTCTTTTCAAGACTGAGTCTTGAGCAGGAGAAACAGAAATGTAAGCCCTTGGTGGCAACCTGCATGCTCTTATTTTCAAGAATAAAAAGAGTAGGAGAGAATTTTTGGGGCCTACATTTTGCCCAGGGGCTACTGATTCTCAGAGAGAGATTGCTCTGAGAGATCCTGGGATATATCAGCCTGTGTGAGGACTAACTTTACAGGTAATGTTGTGTACGGGTAGAGGGGTGAAAGGGTCTGTTTTAGCTTTGTTTCTACCTCATTTCTAATAACTCTTTACCACCACCACCAAATGTTACCCATCATTTTTCTCTTTTATCTAGTATTCATCAAGAAAGAAAACGCCGACAAGTTCTTGGAAAGAACAAAGCGTGCTAACTCTTTCTTCGAGGAAATGAAGAAAGGGAATATTGAAAGAGAATGCGTTGAGGAGCGCTGCTCAAAAGAAGAAGCAAGAGAAGCTTTTGAAGACAATGAGAAAACTGTAAGGATGAAATAATATGAAACACAGATCTGTACATTTCATGTTTACAAATTACATTCAAGTCTTTTGAGCTGGGCACCAAAACTCAAAAGTTATTCGCAATTAACACAAAGAACAAATAGTAGTTGACTGTGGTTGGAATTGCTAAGGCATAAATGTCTGCCAGCCCATCTTAAAACCTCCATTCTTTTACTTGTTCTGATCTGTTTAATTGCCATTGAGAAGTCTTTGACCTTTAAAGGCTTTGATGCTACCTACCAGTGTTGGAAATACGTTCACCCTATCTGGGTGGCATAGCTGAATGCCATGACTGTGGTCAAGACAATCCATGGGAAGTCTGAGAAGGCAAATGATGATGTGGAACTTTATGGGGGAATTTAGCCGAGCTTATCTCAAGCAGTTTTGCAGTGCTTATCATCTTGTGGCTCTCTTTATCTGAACTGAGAGAATGTATACTGTGGAAAGTTCTTAAATGCCTTACTGTTAATTGGAATGAAGTATGTGTGTGTGACTTTTGTGTCACCTACCCTACTCCAATGGCCTGTTTAAGACAGAAATGTGATCTGTTCCCAGGCTCAAGGAAAAGTTAAAGCAATCGGGCAGCTGTGGAGACTGAAGTCAGTAGAATAGGTGGTATTTTAAAACTTGGAGTGACTTAGTAGTGGAGAGGAATAGGGAACATCAACTGTAGCTATGTGGCTGTTAAGAACAACCCTGAAACTGGAGTTAAGGACGGATTCATTTCCCTTTAGCATTACTTGATGGTCAGAACGTTCTCGGAGTGGTATGTCCAGTGATATGTCCTGGGTGGAGAGTCATGGGTGCATTGCTGCACAGCATAAATGTTGACCTACCTATAGCAGAACCAGCACAACCTGTTCTACCTGGTGACCAGATGTCACTGGAAAAGACTGTCTTGGACAGACAGCATACCTGGAGTCCTCAGTGCAGAGCAAAAGGAGAACACAAATCAGACAAAATGTTTTTAAATGTCAGGATTTATGAGGTTATGATTGTTGGGAGTATGGGGTGGGGATGGAGACTGAAAATTCGGCACTATGGGAAAATAAGTAAATTCAGTCAAAACTGATTGAAAGACACAGTTGTGCAAGAAATTAAGTGGCTTGTCCTGAGTGAGTCACACTGTGGTATCTCTAAGGAGTTCCAGACATTTCTGAAGAATGCATGAGACTTGGTTCTGTAGAGCTGGGCAATATGGTTTTAAGGTATTAAATGGTAATAGCAGACTGCAAGGCATGTACCTATCACTTAAATATTTCTTTTAACAATTGTTAGCTACAAATATCCTGTGTATGAAAGGTCTAATATTTTTTCTGAGGAATTTAGTAATTCTCATTCAACTCTTTCTGTTTCCTTTTATTCCCCATTTTCCCCACCTACCTTTAGGAGGAATTCTGGAACGTCTATGTAGGTAAGAAACACTTTGTGTTTGTTTAGTGGATTAAGCTTCCTCACTGCAAAGTTTGAAAGGATGCATCTCTTAAGTAACCCCTTCCTGCTCCCTTGCTTCCTCTCTTTTCACTCCAGGACACCCTCACGCTGTGTTTCCTCTGAAAAAGGAATCTGATTTACTGCCTGCTGTTGCTTGAACCCAGTCATTTCATTTGCAGACAAGGTTCATCTGCCTCCAGTTGCTGGGCTGATCTTTGCCCTCTCAAAAAAAAAAAAAATAGTGACTCTTTGCACACTAAGGACAATGAGAAGTAGAAACTGTCCGTGTGACTCTGCCAAACAGTTTTCCTCCAGAGGGGCAGCCCCAGATGAGAGAATTCGAGATACAAAGAGTTACAGATGAGGGTGTTCCTTAAATGCCATAACCAACAGAAAGCTGTGAACAGTATCTCACAGTCACTTGCCTGTTTCCTGTCACCTGTATTGTAGAGCATTTTGTGGAATGTGTTTTCTACAGAACTGTTTGGAATTCAAGGAAGTTATGCCAGCATGTCAGCAAATACTACCTAACAATCTTTTCGTTATTTTTTTCTAAACGTGTGAGTTGTATTTATTATCTAGTGCTTGTAAGCACTATGAAAGGACAGATTTTTAACGTATTAGTGCTTTGACCAAAGACAGCTCAGCTTTGTCTTTTGGAATCTGCAGAGAATTGAAAACAGTTACCACAAAGAAGATGCAGACTTTCACAATCCTCTAAGCAGGGGAAGAACTCTGCAACCTACAGTTTCAAGCAAAGCCTGCGTCAGTGTTGCAGTAAACTGGATTGGAATATTTCAAACCATTTTCTCATGAGAATACAAACAGCAGAACATCAGTGCCAGTGCTCTTAGCGGAAATGCCAGTTTCATACATTTTAAACCACAGTTCACAAATGCTTTATGGCTGTTCAGAAGTATTGAAAACCACAGCTACCCTCAGCCAAATTACTAGAACAATTTGTTCTAGCTTCCTTTTTTAGTAGGGGAATTTGTGCAATATTGACATAAAACTCACTACCATAGCTGCCACTACATTGTAGGGTAAGACTAAATAAGTATATTTTCTAACAGTAGGATGCTGCTTTGCTAAGACCACTACAGAATAGAGTGCTCTGGCACTTCAGAGGAGGAAGTAACTAGAACCTGTGATGCAGGCCTTGAGTCTGTCTTTCTTTTGGTTAATAGTGTTCTTGACTTCCCTCTGTTGAGGATGGACATCAGTTTTCAAGGCCTCTGTGGCTGGAACATTTGGAGATCTGTTGGTTTTGGGCACATGCAGGTACAGAAGGGATGATGATGTGTGAGTGCAGTCCACAAAGCCCATCAGTTGTTCCCTGTGGCAAGTAGAGCTGCAGCAGCTGAGGTCACAGTCCAGAAACACCATGCAGGCAGCAAGCTAGATCCTTAGGATGAGTAGCTTCCTGCATGTTGTCTCCTCAATGGGCACTGATGTTCCAGCTGCTCCAAAGGGGGATAGAACAGGTGGTAAAACACAGAAGTTCAAAGAACAAATCTAAAGCAACAAATTATTAAGCAAGTGTCACTCTTCTGGATATCCTGCTTTTCTTATCAAACAGTGCAGCCCAGGGAACACATGTCATGGGGGAACACATTTGCTACAGCAGATCACTAAATGGGAAAGAACATGTCAGCAAGCACCAGTGCAGGAGTGAGATACCTTTGTGGGGATGGGAGAAAGGGCTGCCCCGTGGAACGTGTATCCAAACACAGTGCAACCTCCCTGTCCTCCAGGTAACTGAGTTTGTGAGATAATTGTGGCTGGGGCCCTGGAGTTGGATCAGCCAGTATTGTCTAGGTCCCAGAAAGGAAGGAAGGCTGCAGAACCACCTTTCAAATGGGGGAGATGCCAGCGTAGATGTGGGCAGTGTGAGGTAAGAGCTAATATTTTGAGGCTCAAACACACACCTCACCAGATAGATACAATAGGAAATTTTTGGTGCTTCTAAGCAGGACAAAACAGGAATTTGCCCTGCACATAAGGATTTTTCAGGGCTTTGTAAAGTGTTGAGGTTTTATTATCTTCTGATTAATATGCTGGTGGTTGTGTCTTTAGATGGAGAACTCTACAGGCAAAAGACGTGCACAAGGGATGAGATGACCTTTAAGGAAATAAAAGTTGAGGCTTTTTAAGTGGTAGTTGCAATGTAGAAATGTCCCATCTGCTTTTACAGGCTTTGTTGTAAGTGATGTATACTCTTGACCCCGATGTATTACTTTATCTGTCTATAAAAAAGGCCTGTGTATGCACTGTCATACAGTACCCACCAAAACCAGATTGCAAAAGTGAGGATATGTGTATGAATCATTGTGGGTTTGGAATGATTGCAGTTAGACTGTTTGTTCCATCTGGAATGTGGCAACTCACAGGACTTGTATTTTAGAAGGAATAAAAGGTGGCTTCTTAAAATTGACACCACTTCAGAGTTCACTGGAAATACTTGCACTCTTACAATAATTTGGTGTTTGGTTTGTTTTTGTAGATGGGAACCAGTGCAGCCCAAATCCTTGTCACTATGGTGGCCAGTGTAAAGATGGAATTGGTTCCTACACTTGCACATGCTTGGATGGTTATCAAGGCAAGAACTGTGAATTTGGTAAGTTTCTGCTTTAGAGAACTGTAGCAGTGAATTTCCCAGGAAGCTGAAAGGTAGGGAGTTAGTTCTTTCTTAACTCTTAATTATGATGGAGCCTGTCTACATGAGCTGGAATCCCCAGAACATGTGGATAAAACTAAGAAGCATATGATTCTTATAATTGATGTCAAAAAACCTTGATTCCAAGCTCAGAAATACAGCCTCCCTGCTTAGCTCATACCAGAAAAAAAACTAAGAAAGCAGATTTCAGTAGACAATGCAGAGACTTTTTCAGGTTTGCAAGGAAGCATGTTTTGCATATAAATCCTTCCCGAGGCTCCCTTCTGTGGCATACAGCTGCTGCTCTGACAGTTTCACTGGAGGATGTATCAGCAGCCCAGAGGTAAGACTGGAGGGTGCAGAACTGACGTTCAGGCCCAAGATTGAGGAGAGTGATGAGAATTGAGATTTTTAGGGCAGGAGGGAGGAATCGTGTGAGGGTTTACCAGTATCTTCTCTATTAGTGTTTTCTTCATTTTTCCCCTGACAATTTGCCTCTGCTTTTCTAAGCTCACCATGACATGGCCACTAGGCCCACTTGGACTTGGCAAGTACGTTTTGTGTGGTGGATGTGGCTACCTTGTAAGGCACAACCTGGTGTTCACCACTCATGTTATTCCTAAGATGTACTTCAGGTGTTTTGCAGTTGTAGAGACAGATGCTGCTAAAGTGTGCATTTTGTTTTGGTGAAGTTTGAGATCTTCTGTGAAGTCAGTGTTTATTTACAGTTTTTCTCCAACCATCTCTTTTCTAGTCATACCAAAGTTCTGCAAAATAAACAATGGTGACTGTGAGCATTTCTGCAGCATCAAAAAAGATGGACAGAAGGATGTATTGTGTTCCTGTGCAGATGGGTATGTTCTAGCAGAGGATGGCAAACACTGCGTTTCAACAGGTATGAAGCCACGTGATAAACAAATAGCAATGGTGGTGAAACTTGTTTCACAGTCAAGGGATGTCTTGGTTGAGAGTTGAAGAATGTCTTTTAAACCATCGGTATTCTACATGAAATAGATTTAACAGTGAGTCCAACTGATTTGTATTTCCAAAGCCTTCCATTTGTGAGGTGATGTGATGGACTTGATCAAAATCTGGCTGTTTCAGAACCCTTTGTAAGGTGTGTTTCACAGAATTACCACAGTAAATTCTGCTGTTGACAGGAGAAAAGTGGTTGCAGTAATAACTCATTTACTTAAACACTTATATACCTGCTTGCAAAAAGTTACTACTTTTCTAGAAACTGATGATGTTAAATAATTATCATTGGTACTATTTACATTTGTTCATTTTTGTTTTATTTCAGTAGTCCTGGACAGAGGGGTCAAGCATGGGCTCATGATGTTGGTTCTAATATCCTTTATAACTAATAACAAATTGCTGCTGTGAGCCGTATTACTTCACTCATTTTCCTTGGTGTTTCCCAGGAGTTTTCTCTTGTGGGATTTCTGTCCACCTCCAACTTTGACATTCTTCTCTTCACAGTAAAATACCCCTGTGGAAAAATTTTTGTGAGAAGAAAGAAAAGGTCGGTTCTTTTACCTGTTGATTATAGCAATGTAACGAGTGATCAAGAAGGCCCTCCCACAAACGAAACAAGCTCAGAGGATGGCATTGTTATTACCACAGAAAGCCCAACTCCCTCGACTGTCAACAGAACAAGTAGCAAGAATCCATATGTTGATACCAGGATAGTAGGTGGGGATGAATGTCGTCTGGGTGAATGCCCATGGCAGGTAAGTCTGGTGTGTGCCCTGCACGTGAGCAGAGTGTTTTTCTGGGGGAAGCTGTGCAGTGGCTCCTTTCACCTGGTTGCCTTCTGAATGCTACCCATGTAGTGCCAGTGGTAGTGAGATGTAGCTGAATTGTGTGAACTGGGCACTTAGATGTGCTGTTCTGCAACTTGAGGCCTTAAACTGTCAAAATGAAAGGCTTTGTGCCATTTTAGATGGAGCTGCCTAACCTATTCCCACACAGGGCTTTTGAGTCATGCTGGTCTACCAGGCCATTTTTGCATTCTGGTTCTGTTTGAGAGCACCCACTCAGGGAGCATACCCAAGAGCACGTCAGGTGAAGCAAGAGTTTTACTTTGCAAATACACTTTTGTGTTTAAGTTTTACTCTTGAGTTTGGACCAGCCAAAATGAACTCCTGTGTTTGGGAATAGTAAGGGGGATACAAACAGGAACAGAACTTGGACAGGAATTCTTGGGGGTGGTAAGTCCAAGGGATGGGGTGATTTGGAGGCTGCACTCTGCCTGCTCAGTCAGTCAGTGTCTAAAAGACAGTACTAAGCACTGTGAGTGCAGTAACACGGAATCCAAACATCTACTTCACCTAAAGACAATGGAGACTCTGTAGCAGTACAAGCCGATCTGTAACCTCTGCAGCCCTGAATGCAGTATCAAGAGAGACCTGGAGGGCCCCTTAGGTGTTGCAGTAAGAAGCATATATGTGGTGTGCAGAGAAATCAGTTACCTGTTTATAGCTCATTCACATTGCACTGCACTTCTTAATTTTGCACTTACCTTTTTTCTTTCACAGGCTGTACTATTAAATGAGGAAGGAGAAGAGTTTTGTGGTGGAACAATTCTGAATGAAAATTCTATACTTACTGCTGCTCATTGCATGAATCAATCTAAAGAAATCAAAGTTGTTGTTGGTAAGTGGCTATTTATTTTACTCCTGCAATGTTTGAGCATGTGCAGCAGCTTCACCTTCTCTGCTCTAAATCTCATGTGAGATGTACTCATTACTTTATGTATTACGGTTTGTTGCTTTTTTGTTGTTATTTTACTTTTTCTTATTTCTTGTTACTGTGGAAATCCTGCTTTGTAACAACAGGGACACCAGATGTGGAAAATTATAATGGTGCATCCCTTTCTTCTTTGCCAGCTAGCTGGAAGTGATTAAAAACAAATGTTTTAGAAATGATGGCCATCAGTGTTTTCAGCAGGGCAGTGCTTTTTCAGAAAGCTTGTAATTTCTGACACATCTGAATCATCCATATTTGTTCCTGCAGGAACACTCTGAAAATCTATGACACATCCAATAGAGGACAAAGGAACAAACTCAGGTTATGATTGCTTCACTTCTGAGCCAGAACAGTAGATCAACACAACTTTATCTTTGCACTGTTTTAGTCTTGAACCAGACCGTGTTCTCTTCTCTAAGTCAGGTTCAAGCTCCTTTCAAGAGATTCCACACAGAGTTGCATTAGTTTAGTTGGATCAGTCTATGCCTTTATGTAAACTGGTACATATCTCCGTAAAAATCTCCGTAGACCAAAACTCAGGACCAAAACTGATCCTGTTGCTGCTGATAAATATTGCCTACATTTACCTGTATTGTATAAATGCTTAGGCTAAGTGTTATGAATGGGTATACTAGTCTCTTCCTCTATCAAGGTTGTTCTTAATTTCTTATACTATCTCCAGATTAATGACTCTTTTAATAATCTTGTACAGGTGAAGTGGACAGAGAGAAGAAAGAGCCGTCTGAAACGACGCATAGTGTGGACAAAATACTTGTTCACCCTAAATACGTTGCTGCAACTTATGATAATGACATAGCCTTAATAAAGCTGAAGGAACCTATCACATTTTCGGAGTACATTGTCGCAGCGTGCCTTCCCAAAGCAGACTTTGCTAATGAAGTTCTGATGAACCAAAGATCTGCGATGGTTAGTGGCTTTGGGCGTGAATTTGAAGGTGGACGACTATCCAAAAAACTGAAAGTGCTCGAAGTCCCCTATGTTAATAGGAACACTTGCAAGCAATCGACTAACTTTGCAATAACAGAGAACATGTTCTGCGCTGGTTATGACACAGAGCAAAAAGATGCTTGTCAAGGAGACAGTGGAGGCCCCCATGTAACCAGATACAAGGATACTTATTTTGTTACTGGAATTGTTAGCTGGGGAGAGGGATGTGCAAAGAAAGGCAAATATGGTGTCTATACCAAATTGTCCAGGTTCTTGCGTTGGGTAAAAGCAGCCTTGAATTTGTAGTGGTGGTGTGTCTCCTGATCCTTCTGATAGCTTCCCAGGTGCAATTTTTGTAACAGAAACTTTTTTTTCCACATCTGCTAAATTTGTTTTGAGAGCTGATTCCTTAAAGTTACGGTGCCGCTTCTATTTGTATTATTCCTGGCTTTAAATCACATGTATGTGGACTATGGGTAGTGTTTCGAATCTGTTGAATGGGGGAATTTCCCAAAACAAAGTGGTTGCTCAGTGGGGTCTTTGATTTGCTTTAGTTATTTTTATATTACCATTTTGGTTCCTGTCTGTTGACCCAAGTGCTTCCGCCAGAGGCTCATAAACATATCCTAAACAATCACTAGCCATGATGAAAGTGGGCAGGACAGGACTTCAATTAATCCTCGTATTGCAACCATCTGGCTCAGCAGGGAGTTTGTTATTACTGGAGTTGTTTAGCTTGCCCCTTTGGATGTATTCAGAAGAGTAAGGGAGCAAGGGAGCTTACATGGCAAAAGCTGAAACACAAGTAAATATTCAGTGTATGATTGAATAATAACCACATGTTCCACAGAAGGCCTACTCAGGTCACAACAGCTAATTAAAATAGTGGTTTGCTTTATATGGATTGTAGTTCACCTTAGTTTAATTTAAACATTGCTGCTCATCAGAAAAAAATTTATGTGCATGTTCATTGTTTTCTGTATCGTGTTGTGGATTGTGTATGGCTGAGGATTGGAAATCTCCTATTTTTCTGGGTGTTTCTGTCAGGTGCAATATTGATGTACAGCAGCATTTGAAATAAAACATTCTTTCTTCTTCGCTACTTTTTTTTTTAATCAAACCCAGACCTCTCAGCCTGTTACAGTTCATCATGTGCTCTACACCCTAACCATCCTGATGACCTTTCCCAGGCTCCTCCAGTCTGGCATGTTCCCCTGTTCTCTGAGGAACACTGAACTTCACCAGACACCTGCCACTTATCTCTTAGGGTTTGAGCTGGTACTGGCTAGTTTTGTGTAGCTGATGCTGTGAGCAAACCAGGTTAACAAACTGGAAATACAGCTCTGCAAAGCAGGAAGGTATTTCTGCAGTCAGCAGTGACTGTGGGCAGGAATGTTAGTGGGCAGGTCAGTTACCCCAGCTTGATGGTCTTGACCTGCATAACCCCTCAGTGGGCTAACTTCAGTGTTTACTCAGCAATATTTGTTCCCTGGGTTCCTCTGTCCACTGTGTTCCTGTTCCTCTCCCTTGTCCTACTGGTAGCCTACCCCTGTGCTCAAGGGTGAAACTTGCCTCTTCAAAAGAAAACTTCAGGCCTAGATGTTACCAAAATTCTATTTACATACTCCTGCTAAGGGCTTTCTTGTACTTCAGTGGAGCTTGAGGACTGAAGCAAAATGCAGGCTGGGCTGCATAAGGTGTTGAGGCAGCTGAAGGCAGGACCTCCCTCTGGCAATGGTGGCAGTAACTGGTGTATGTATGTTCTTGTTGAGCCAAGTATCACCTTGTGAGAGCAGACACAGAACAGGCAAGAGGGTGATAAAAGTACATGTTTGTGTAATTATTTGCCATTATTTGTGCTTTGTGGACTAGGGGACATCAGTGAAAACTGGGCAGCTTTGCTGTCTTGCCCTCCTTGCTCCCATTTGTCAGCTGCAGTGTAATGATATCCAGGTCTAAGGCTCAGGGGAATAGTTTTGGACTGAAAGAATAGTGCCAGTGTGAAATACAGGGTCAGTATGTTGATAAGCAGGGCTTTCAAATGCACAACACAAACAATGGGCCATTCTTCATGTTCTCAAGTGATGTGATAATTAAATAATCCTTAATATCCATTTATAAGGTACTGGATGACAAAATGAACCCCACAAGATGTAACGGGGGGAGAGGGGGGAGGGAACAAGAACCCTACCCCATCACTCACTGTGGTTGTCTGTCTCCACACAATGATCACTTCTCCACTTGATGAAGCATCCCACCTGTCTGTCAGGTTGGACCCTGAGATGTTTATCTTCACATCCAGTTTATGAATCATACTGCAGACATGATGCCTGCCTTGTTTAATTTTGCTGTAAAAGTCATTTGGGTATTACAGAGGTCTGGTTGGAGACAACTGAACAAACACCTGAGTCATCTCCATTACAAGTGCTGCAGGTTAGAGGTAGATTTTGACATCCCAGAGGTGAGGTGGGAGAGGTCCTTAGTGGGACATGGGTTGCCCTGACTGTCTTCAGAATGTTTCATGGAAAATTTTCTCATACAAAGACATAGAAAGCAATTTTGAGTGCACGCGTTTGCATTTAATTTTAATCTATAGACTAGAAGTAGCTGACAATAGAAAGATGGAAGATGACTTTAATAAAAGTAACTGTAGAAATGACAGAGCTCATTAATGAGAATATATATATTTTTAAAAAGAAAAATAATGAGAGAATAAATGTATTCATACATTTTTAAAAGAGATGCTACCTCTAAAAACCCCATAAAACCCCGAAGTGTTTAAGGCAGTGTCTGAACTATCTCAATGTCAAGAAAGGACAGGAGGATTAATAAAAACTATGAGCTTTTTCATGACCTCCAGAAGGAAGCACAGAAATACGTAGATCTGTATAAAGAATTGAAACCATCTTGGCATAAAACCAGAAAAGCTAAGGAGTAAACAGATAAATATGATGTGAAAATCAATAGCTGATCTAAGTATAGAGATAATGGAAAAAAGCCCAAGAATGTTAGTCTGTGCCCAATGGAGAAGAAAGTCTTTCTCCCTAAAGTACCAGGTTACTTGAGTCCAACGAGGAGAAAAGAAACTGAGTTGCACTAGTCAAGAAAAAAAATCACATCAAATTCTTCTAAGGGATAAATCATATCAGTTTCATCCAAGGATAGGATAACAGTCTGGGTGACTGCAAAAGATGCAGTACACCTCAGGTCTCTCCATTAGGGAGGCTTCTAGCACCATTTTCTATAACACTTTTATTGCAACAGAAAGACAAACACCAGTCTGGGTGAAACTACTGTAAGTTTGGTGCAAATCTGGTTGAGAAACTGTGCTACTTGATTGAAAGATTATATGGATTGCAGAGCTCCACAGAGGTGAGACTGAGGACCACTGACACTGATATTTTCCACAGTGACATGCAAGACAGAAGAGAGTGTTTACTCACTGCATTAACTCATTTCAGACTGGAAGGATGACCATAAGTTGAGATGAGAGTTCAGACAATCTTGTGAAACTGAAACAGTGATTCTATGTAAATAGGAGCCAATGATGTAAACACAAACCCAAAATTTCACCTTTGGTCTCACAACACACAACCACAGAAATTTATAAAATATGTAATAAAAAGAAGACATCTCCATTTTCATGAGGACAAAAAAATAATGAGATCCCGCAACTCTAAGGGACACTCAGATTAGATATTAGGAAACACTTTCTAGACATTGTAAGGCTAATTAAGGAGTGAATTAAGCTGCGTGGGTGAGCTGTGGAATCTCATTGTGAATCTGTAGGAACAGGTTAAACAGCATCTGTTAGGACCGGTTTACTTGCTATCACACTGTTAGAGCCAGAAAGAGCTCTCATATTCTGCCTGTGATCTTACAGTACCTGAGCTAAGGTAAGTAGCATGCACCATATGCAGACTGAAAAGGAATATTGCAAGGATTTACCAAGAGTACAATATTCATTTATTACTGATGCTTTAGTTGCTAATTTTTGCCTCTTATCCACATCCATGTTCATCTTTCCCTTAGTATGATGACTGTTTGGGAAAGTACAGATTACTCCTTGATTTACCCTCAAAGAGCTGTCAGTTATAGCTGGGAAACACAGCATAAGATGTAGAATGATGGTGGTCTACCTAATGTTGACGGTTTACCGTTTTTAAAATAATGATAGTTACAACGGTTGTTATTACTGAGGCCTTTGGCAGGAATTGCAACTTATTTCCCAGAGTGGTGGGGTGTTTTATTCATGTTTGCAAGCGAGCTTTCATGAGCTACTTGTGTTTTTATGGATTCACCATGAATCTATATATTTGACTCCTTTGCAGTCATACCAAGTGCATGCAAGGTCAACTCAGGAACTGTGAGCAATTCTGCAAAACTGAAGATGAAGGAGTTATATGTTAATGTGCTGCTGGCTATGCCCCGGGCAATGACAAAACCTGTGTTTCCATACGTAGGAAGCCAGAATTAAAGTTCATTCTATGGGGGATACACGTCACATCTGCACCACATTTGGGAAGTGCTGGTGTGTTGCAGTGCTGTTGTAGCATAAAAAATAATGTTAATTGTTCAGGCCTTTCACATGGCTTCCTTGAGGTGTTGATAACAAATTTAATAAGATCTTAGCTAAAGGTCATAATTTAAGTAACATCAAATTGTTCAACTGTGAGGGATGTGTGGCAGCAAAAATAGCTCTGGTAACCCCTCTATGCAAGTGGGTGCATTCTCATAGGGGACTGCAAACCCCATGTCCCAGCAGGGGCAAAGCCAAATGAGAAACAAGAGATTACAATGGGCCCAGATTCCTCTTCTCCCACAGACTGAAACAGACCCTTCATGTTTTGGAGGATTTTGCTAGAAAGCAATAGGTTAGGTTTTTGGTTGGTGAAAACTGGTGTCTGTTTTCAAGGCCTGAGTTGTGCTGAACATCTACAGATCCAAACGAATAGGAACTCAAGAAACTTCTTCCTTTACAATATATAGTTTGCAAGGACTCATTGTTTCAGTGGTAGTAACATAATGTGACTGCAGTTATATCTCACTTGTTTCTCCTCAAATATCACCTGTTTCATCACCTTCCATATCACATATCACCACCTTCATCTTTTCTTCTAATTACAGATTTTCTGCAGTTACATACAGTAACCTAAATACATTAATAAGTACTGACATTGAATTTAAATCCATTACTTTTGACTGTATTCAAATTGAACATTAGCAGTTATTAGTCTCAGTCTGTTCCTCTGTCTATCTGGTGATATTTGTTATAATACCTTTTCTAATTTAATGCCAAATTACTGTCATGAGCTTATGATTCCAGACATGGAAGACTTTACTCTATTTTTCAATTACAAAATATTTAATAACAGCAGGTACCTGAAAATAATTATACCAATAATGGAAGATAGGTAACTTTTAAATACTTTGAAAATGCTGAATGCATTTGCCCACAGGTATGTTTTAGAGGTGGAAAATGATTTTCAGCCATTCTGATCCTTTTGCATTTGCAAAGGTTTTGTTAATGCCTAGAAAAATCTAGGAGAGCCAGCCCTGACAAGAACACCTGCATATCTAATTAGATTGCAAAAGTCTTCTGTTGAGGAGTTTTTCTTAAACTATTAAGCAAGTTTTCTCTCTTTTTCATGAGCAGTTGATTCCCTGAAAGTGACCTGTTTCCCTGCAAACCCTTTTCCTCCAGTGTAGATATCTATCTGTAACTCTGAAGGCTGCTTTTGACTGCAAAACCCATGCTCCAGCAGGTTTGAATAATTTCTTGGAATGAAAACCAACACAAGGTGCACTGGAAGCTAGATTTACTTTTCTGACCATGAAACTGTCCCTTATATCAAGGGCTCTGTCAGACAAGCTCTGTTGAATGTCACTTCAGTGACAGAAATTGCTTTCAACAGCAACTGTCTGTCCTTCTGCTGTGTTGTAGGTTACTGTCCCTTGAATGTCATTTGGTTTGGTTCCCCAGGGATTCCACAGGCACCATCCCCCACAGAGATGGAAGACCAGAGTCCTCCATGTCCTAAATTTTGGCTTAAATCAGCAAGAAGGTAGCTCTGAGCTCAGGTGGAGGCTGGTAACAGCAGCTGAGCCTTCACAGCTGTG